GTGCGGCAAGGGTGGCTGGAGGGAGCGCTGGGAGACGGCGATCAGGAAAAATCGCGTGAAGTGGAGGGCTGTTAGCAGGATGAGAGGAGGAGTTTTTGGAGAGGAGTTCAACAACTTCAGATGCGATGCCAATAACAAACTCTGTTTTTTGTTTTTTCTACCCCCCCCCCAGACTCCAGCAGGGCGCCGTCTAGCAGGGCATTGAACATGTGTAAGTTTTCCATTCGAGACCGTCTCCGCGACTCTGATGTCACGGTTGCAAGGCCCACTCTGGCGCAGCCAGTTGGGTCGCCCACGCAACCTTCAGCATCCGTGCCCCATCAGAAGGCAGTTCTGGCGCAGCCAGTCTGTCCGCCGACGGTTCTGGCGCAGCCAGTCCGTCTCGGGGTGGTTCCGGCGCAGGTGGTCCACCCCCCTGTTCCTAACCTTCGTAGTGCGCACCCGACGCATCCAGCGCTAGGGGGCGACACCGTCAGTGGTGTGGCGGGTCAGCTGCGGTCTACGGACCGGCGGAGACCGAACGAGCCCTATCAACGAAGTAGGAACACCAATCGAGGTTCACGAAGCAAACGGTCATCGGAAGCAAGAAAACAAAAACGAAACTTCAAACGTAACTTAGCTAGAAAGCGCAACATATGGAAAACAAGCCTGGCCGTCAAGGCCCAGGAACACGGACAACCGCAACCAAATCCCAAGCTAGCCAGTTTAGAACTCAAGTGCGATTCAGAGCTACATGTCTCCACCCTCAACATCAAAGGTATTAAATAGGCGAGGAAGCGAGAGACCGTCGAGCAGTACATGCGTACAGAAAGCATACATATTATGTTGTTACAGGAAACTCATGTGAACCAGAATGCGAACGAAATGCGGCGGCACTACGCGTGTTTTTTTTTCAGCGGAGACGAAACCGTTAGCTCCCCAAGTACGTATGCTGGAGTCGTTGTTGTCATCAGCAATTCTCTTGTCAATTACATCCTTGATATCGAACCGATCAGTGATAGGATCATTTTTCTCACCCTGGGCCACTTTTTGCCGGTGACTTTCATAAACGTATACATGCCCATTGCATCGCATGGCACAGCTGCAAAAGAAGCGGTGTATCGGCGGCTGAAGCGCCTGCAACAGAAAAACAGCGGAAAAGGCCCCACGTATGTTGCAGGATATTTTAACGCAAGAGTGCAAGTGAAAAGTTCCAGCAACGAGGAATGCGTTGGACCACACGTTTGACAAACAGCACATCACACTTGCCTCACAGGATGATTTTGTGAGGGAAAGCAGGACACTCCTAGTCAACCGCTGCGTCACTACGAAAGCGCAGCTCGCTAATAAGTTTTTTTTTCTCTCTTCGACAAGCCCACCGATAAATTCGCCACGCACAGGACTGTACAAACCAACGTGGGCCCTCCCTGAACACCTGGCCGATATGAGACGATCGATTGTTTATTGGTCCCAAACAGGTGGGAAAGCAGCGTGGCTGATTGCGAAAGTGACCCAGTGGCCAACGTTGATTCTGATCACATGCCCATGAACGCTAAACTTAAAGTAAAACTCAAATCACATGTCAGTTACAATCGCACCAGAGACAAATTTGAGAAATGCTGTCTGACGCAAAGACACGACTTTAACCAACGGCTAAAGAATGCCACGGCTCCCTCCCAGAGCAACGCTTCCTTCCTTGAGACAGCGATGGAAGTCGCAAGGGAAGAAATACCGATGGACAAAAACTAAACGCGACAAAATCGGTATATCAACGGAGCTGCTGCGACTCATCGAAGCACGCGGACAGGCGCTCATAGACATGAATGTCGAAAGGGCTCAAGAGCTGAACCGCGCTGTCCAAAGACAGAAGAGAAAGGAACGCAAAGAGAATATACTGGCCTCTGTGAGCAAATACCTAGATCTAGGAGATCGCTGGTGTGGTACTCGGCATCTAAAGTCTGACTACAAGCCCCTCCCTTATACCCAGAAAGATCCCCGCGGAAAGTCGGTCCGAGTGTCTGACAAGGCTGAAGGAGCGGCCACGCATCTGGAGCAACAGATCTGGCCGCCGAGGGAGGATGAACGAACGGAGGTTTTCGAGGGCACCCGGATTGTCGAACGGCCTCTGAACCTCAACACGGAAACCATATCATTGCCCGAGGTCCGGGAAGTAATTCGCATATTCAAAAGACGCAGGGCGCCGGGGCCAGACGAAGTGCCAATGGAGATGTTCAAAGAGATGGACGACGAAATGTTTACTCTCATCTTAACGGAGCTGAACATTTGGTGGAGGGAGGAGCGTAAACCAGAAGAGCAACTAAAGGCAATAATCGTTCTGATTTATACAAAAGGAGACATTGGCAATCTGAGCAATTACAGGCCGATCTCTATTGAACTCAATGTACAAAATCTTTGCAGCCGTGCTGCAACGTCGCATCGCTACGGCAATCGAACCGTACCTCCAAAAGGTACAGTACGGTTTCCGGAAGAACCGGAGAACGGCACATGCAGTTCATATCATACGCCGGATTCTGGATCTAGGAGAGCGGACGGGCAGAAAAATCAATCTGGTTCTGCTCGACTGGGAGAAAGCATTCGACAAGGCATCACACGCTGGGCTGTTCAAAGCTATGGAAAGGATCGGCATCCACGAGAAACTCATCAGGCTCACACAAGAGGCGTTTACAAATCCACAGTGCCACGTTGAAATGGAGGGCAGAACGTCGAAATGGCACCGCCAGCATACGGGCATCCGACAAGGCTGTCCCCTGTCCCCATACCTTTCTCTCATCGTTATGACAGTTATGTTTAGAGATGTCCATCGCACACCCGGGCTGCGTGAAAAAAACTAAGACATCACAGGGTACTGGACGCCCTACTGGATGAGGTCCTGAATGCGGATGACACCATAATTTGTCAGAGGATAGTGAGGCACTGCAAGAACTGCTGCACGCAATCGAAAGGGAGGGAGACAAGTACGGCATGGTACTAAACAAAAGCAAATGTGAAACGTTGTGCGTAGGGGGGCACGATGCGATTTCATTCAGAAATGGACAACCAGTGCCTCCGCACAGTGAAGCGAAATATCTGGGTTGCATGTTGAACGACAAAGGTGACCCGCTCAGAGAGCTGAACAAGAGGATGTCCGTTTGTTTTGTAACGCGGAAGAAATTAGGGGAGTTTTGGGAACACGCCGACTGCAGCGTAAGGCTTAAATTGGGTGTTTACGACGCCGTAGTTCGTTCTAAACTTATCTACGGATTGGAGTCTGTGCAAGTAAGCGATGCACTTAAAAAGAACAAAGACGCGTTTCAGCTGAAAGGCTTGAGGCAACTTCTCAAGCTTCAGACAACATACGTCAACAGGGCAAACACAAACGTTTTTTTCTTCACCGTGCTAACGAAGTAGTTAACATATGGGTAGATAGAGCGAGGGGCAATGACCGAGGATTCCGGCCGATTAAGAACAGTATACCCTTCAGCGAGTATTATGAACAATGACGGCGAATGCTGATCGCCGAAGTCATTACTGCGCAACCTTCTGATCCCATCGCAGACATTTGCATCCATTGTGACACACTACGGCTCAAAGATTACGGAATGAGGCGGGCGGGGAGACCAAGGTTCAATTGGTGGAACTCCGGCTTAGCAATGTATTGGCGCCGTCTCACAGTCCATCATCTTCCCACACACCGGGGCGACGAATTTTCCTTCGACTGTGTGGACCATGTCAGGCTGCTCAAAGAGGCCGCGAGAGAGGGAATGGGGGCGTGCCTGATTCCGGGAGGGAGAGGAGGAGGAGGAGGAGGACGACGACGATGAGACGTCAAGCCGCTAGCTGCCTACACTCTTTTTCTGGGCGGCGCGCGGGGTGCTTTCCACTCAGACACCGGCGTCTGGGTGGGAGTTTCGCCTGCGCTTCTGCCACTGGGATATATATATATATACACATATATATATATATAGATGTATATATATATATATGTATTATATTTATTACACAACTCAGACGTTACAACATGTGTAGATCCGAACATATTGCGCTGGATGTCTCCACACATTTTGCACCGCAGCAATTGCACCAAATCTGTTGCACAACGTAGGCGTCGCAACATAGGTTGCACCATGTAGGTTGCACCACATTTATTGCGCAACGTAGATTGCACAGCGCGTATTGCAAACATCGGTGGCGCCACATCTACTGCAGGTCTATGTTGCACCGCGTAGATTGCATCACATATGTTGCCCCACATATGTTGCACAACCTCTATTGCACCACGTGCGTTTTAACACATGGCATCTATGTTTATGCAGCTTCACATAGGGTGTGCACCCTGGATTGCACCACGCAGATTGCACCACATGGATTGCGCCGCGTAGTTTGCACAATGTGTGTGCGTATATGTGTACGGCTACATATACAAACCAACATTTATATATACACCTATGTATTTACGTGCATGTATTCGACACCAACAACATATTTTGCACCACGTAAATTGCACATCATATATTGCACGCCGCGTTGCACCGCAAAGCTTGCACCACATTGGCTAGCCCACCTACGTCGCACAACATAAAATTGCACCACACGGGTTCCACCACATCGACTGCACCACGTGAGCCGCATCGCGTAAAGTGCTCCATATCGACTGCACCATGTGCGCTGCCAGCAACACACTGTGGGCGGGGGGCCACGCTGGCCAACATGTGTTCGTGTATGGGGCAAAGCCTCGCACACTCTTCCGGTGCGGTTGTGTCACGTTCCCCCTCCTCCTCCCCCTTCTTCTCCTCCTCCCCCTCCTCCTCCTCCCCCTTCTCCTCCTCCTCCTCCTCCTCCTCCTCCTCTTCTTCCTCCTCCTCCTCCTCCTCCTCCTCCACCTCCTCCTCCCCCTCCTCCTCCTCCCCCTCCTCCCCTCCTCCTCCTCCTCCTCCTCCTCCTTCTCCTCCTCCTCCTCCTCCTCCTCCTCCTCCTCCTCCTCCTCCTCCTCCCCCTCCTCATGCGAGGGGGTCCGGGAGCAGGTGGCGTGCCCTTCCTGGCCGCCCGGGTGGCGGCCGTGCGCCGCAGGCCCGAGGCGGCGAGCAGGCTCCTGGCCACCCTGGAGAAGGGGGAGGTCGTGCAGGGCCTCGCCAGGGGCGCCTGGGTCCAGCTGGACCTGAAGCAGGCTCCTCTCCTCCTCCTCCTCCTCCTCCTCCTCCTCCTCCTCCTCCTCCTCCTCCTCCTCCTCCTCCGTAAGACTCGAGTTCATTGGAGCTCGGGCTGGCCGACGCTTTTGGACGGGCCCGTCCTGGGCTTTGATGGTTCGATTTTCGTGGGATGTTTGCGGTGGGAGCTCGCGCCAAATTTCAGACTGGGTTCGGATGCAACTCCTGGGAGGTCAAACTCTGATTTTGCCCTGCTCCGAAATCCAGGTTAATCCGGCTGAATGCTGAATCCCGCTTAATCCGAGGCCCACTCCGGCGTAATAGCCCCCCAAATGGGGCTCAATCCTCCTTACATAATCCTCCCGACGAAAACCTCTCAGTAGTTGCCTCCTAGGACTGGGTTTCGTCATTCTCCTGACGGCATCGCCAGGCCAACCCGAGCCCCCCGCACCCAAGTCCTACGTCTCCCCGACAGGAGGCCTTGGCGGAGCGGCGCCTGCCGGGCGACCACGGATGGTGCACGTCAGGAAGCAAGTCCAGACCCGTTCGCGTCGTGAAGGGTCGCTCGGGCCGGACGAAAGGGGGGGGATTGGGAAATCTGCTGCATGCAGCTGGTTTCGGCCCCACCGAGGAGCCCATTCCTCGATGCATGGCCGCCTCCGGCGCCGGGAGGCGTCGGGAAAATCAGTGACGCGAGCTGATCCTCACCCCCCCCCCTTTTGCTACCCCCCCCTTTCGCCCGGCCCGAGAAGTGTCGCGACGGAAGGTTTTCCGCTGTTTCCAGCTTCCGGGGCGCCCTTGCCGTGCCTCGGGGCCGTCGAACGATGATTCCTGGCATCGCTCGGACGTGTATTTTTGCCCCGACAAGGACCATCGAGGAGCATGTTTCTCACCTTGCGAAAGGCTACACGCATGAAACCGTGTAGTGCATTGGGAATGGACGTCCGAGCGACGGCGAGGACTCAGAATGGAAAGTTGGTCCTGGGAGAGGGGTCCAGACCTCTGGGGGTCCACGTTACGAAAAAGTCACGACGTCGGGTGTCAGAGAAGAAACTGGTCCTGAGGGAAGCGTGTCCTGAATTCTGCTCGCAATGTTCGGGATCTCGGGGCCCTCCCCTGAGCCGAGGCCGTCCAGAAAGGACTCCATGCGCAGAGTGGCTTCCGGGGGGAGCTTTGCAGCGGGTCCAGGACCCATCACCCTCAGGACGGGTTTCGGTCACGCCAAGGTGCAAGTCCGAGCCGAAAGACCCCAGCGCAGGGCCTCTCCTAAGATGCACGCTGTTGGACGTTCAGGTTGCGTCCTCCTTCGCGGAGGCGCTGTCCTTGAAGTGGACGCGCGTCCCGGCAAAGTTGGTGCGCTACAGCGTGGAGTGGATGCTCAAGGAGGACCCCCACGCGGTCGTCCACGTCGCCGAGACATCCTGCAGAGGCTGCTCCCTGCGAGTGGGCGGGCTGCAGGCGGGCACGGCCTACCTGGTGCGTGTCATCGCCCAGGTGCTACGGCCGCGCAACGAGGCCGCCGGCGGCTCCGCTCTGCACAAGCCCGGCATGTACCGCGTGGTGCACCAGAGGGGCATCCGGGTCAGCGCGGAGTTCGCCCGGGACAGCAAGGCGCTGGCCAGGCTGCCGCCCGGGGCCGCCGTGAACGTCCTGGAGGTGGCGGCGGACAGAGCGCAGGGGCGAGTGCGCGGCCGCATTGAGAGCCCCGCGGGGTGGATCTCGATATTCAACGTGCAGAACAACGCGCATGGCGCCAGGAGGGCACTGGAGCTGGACCCAGAGGGCCCTTTCGCCCGCATCGTCGGTGGCTGGTGCGAGGGGTCGACGGGCCCAGAGGTCACCCAGGGGGAGGAGTCGAACAAGACGTGGGACCCGCTTGCCAAGACGCGGGGGGCGTGCCTGGACTGTGGGCACTGCAAAGGTTACGTCATCTCGAGTTACACTTTCGCGCAGCGTCTGGAGGACGTGATGTGCCGCCGCTGCGGCTGCCCTTGCACCAGGCACCGCGTGGTCGGGGACTGGCATGGTGGCACAGCAGAGGACAAGGCCTGGGCAGCGCACCAGGCGCGGATCCGGCAAGCCAGACTAGCCCTCGCGCGGAAGCCTGTGATACACTGCCGGCAGTGGTCTACCGACGGGGCCGCTGCAGGAGACGACGGGGTACGATTCATCGTCAAACATGTGTCGGGCGCAACCCACCTGTACGAGATGCTCGGCGTCGCCAACGACGTGGACGCCGCCGAACTACGCAAGGCCTACCGCAAGATCTCCTTGCGGATACACCCCGATAAGGTGAAGAGCAAGGACACAGATCTCTTGAATAAAGCGGAAACGAGCTTCAAGAAGGTGGCTGCCGCGTACGCGACGCTCGGCGACGCGGGGAAGCGCGCGGCCTACGACCGCGAGCTCGCCAGCAAGTTGACAGCCCGCCCCGAGCCGCAGGACGACCAGGCAGGTGCGCGGCAGAAGGACAAGGCGCCGGCCAGGAAACCGGTGAGGGAAGTGGAGCTAAAGATTGTGCAGGCGATCACCCGTGATGAGGTCACTCTCCGGATGCCTCCAGGTAGCACCGTCCTCGCCGCCAAGAAGGCTCTCTCCAAGCTCGTGCAGCGAGGACCCGAAGACAGGATCGAGCTTGCCTTCCTCGATGGCGCCGGCATGTCGGACGACTTCTGCCTCGACCAGAGCTTCACGCTGTGGTGCGTGGGCGTCGACTTGGGGCCGCCGAGGCCCGTGGACGTGCTGATCCGGGACGTGTGGACAGGCGCGTACGGCAGCGTGGAAGTCTTGGACACCTCCACGATGTCCGAGGTTCGGCGGCGAGCGAGGGGGGGAAGTGAAAAGGAGAAGGCCTTCTCGAAGGCGGCGGGGCTTCTCAGAAGCTCTCCAGCCTTCTGGGAAGTTTGTTGCGTCTTCGGGGACGGCTTAGAAAGCTTCTCGCAAGGCCGGTGGACTTCTGAGCCTCTTGCGAAGACTTTCTCCCTCCCACTTCCCCCCCAGGCTCGCCGCCGAGAGGTCAAGAGCAGGGTGGCGGCCGCGTTCGACGTCGACGAAGGTTCCATCGCCATCGGCCTGTCGAGCCCGAAGGCCGCGGCCTGCGGAGCCAGGGGCTTCGAGGAGCTCCCTAGCGGCGCACGGCTGGATGGCAGGAGGGCCCTGCACGTGCGTGGGGCGAAGCCCGTCGTCTACCTCACCCTCGAGCAGGGCACGGAGCTGCAGCGCGAGCTCGTCGAGGCCTACTCCTCGCCAGACTTCCAGAGAAGGCTGGACGAGATGGAGGCCGCCTGGCCGATGCCCGAGTCGCTCGGTAAGCAGAGGTTCCGCGCGCAGTTCGGCGCGCTCGTGAGGGCCGCCCAAAGGGACACGCTCCAGAGGTGGGGCTTCGAGGGCGAGTTCGCCGCCCACGACATGATCACCGCCTTCAAGAGGATCGGTAGTAGAGGGGGGGCTAGCCCAAGGCGGGGTTGGGGAGCCTGGCTGGATGTTCGCACTTCTAGTAAGGATGATCGACTTTGCAAGGGTGCTCTTGCATCCTTGCCTCTTCGGTCATCTGCGGTCCATCCTCAACCGCTTTTGATGGCCAGCCCCGCCCGAAGAGCCTCGACACGGGCGCCCAAGGCCCTTCTTGCATCCTTACCGTTCCTTACCGTGCGTCCATATTCCACGGGGTGACTGTACGTCCCGCCTGGGGGGGAAGTGAGAAGGGGCGGGCCTTCTCAGAAGGCTCGAAAGTCCCCCGGCCTGCTGAGAAGTCTTCTGTAAGCCTTCCCCGAAGACGCCGAAAACCTTTCAGAAGGCTGGATGGCTTCTGATAGTTCCCGCCTTCCGAGAGGGCCTCCTCTTTCTTGCCTCCTCCCCTCGCTCGCCGCCGACCTTGCCCCACCTCTGCGCCCCCCCGAGAGGATCGGCGACCTCGACGAGGTCTGGGAGCTGACCGCCGAGATCGACCGCTGCCTGCGCTTCACCCGCAACGGCGGGGTGGGCCCGGCGAGGCCGACCCGGGAGCCGGGGGCCCCCGCCGAGGCGGCGGCGACGCGCGGGGCGCAGGAGGCCCCCGAGGCCCAGGATTTCCGCGGGCGAAGATCGGCGTGCACGGTCCCCAGGCTGCTTCTCCTGGTGCTTCGCCACCGGGTTCCTGTACAAGGCGTTCCTGTGCAAGCACATCGTCTTCGGCACCGCCCGATTCCAGGGCTTTGCCCTCTCTTTGGTCTTGACGCGAGGCCTCTCCTTCTGCCTTCCCCCCTCTGTCAATCAAAGCTGTGCGCGGCCCGCTTCGCTTCGACCGGAAGAGGTGCGCTCTCGACCCGGGGATCAAACAAGTACGGTCCCCAGACTCCCTCGGGTCATGGAGAAGCCACGGCGGGAGGTTCTTCGCAATGTTCGGCCTCTAGAGGCCCTCGCCAGGCCTCTGGAGGCCCTCGCCAGGCCTCGGGGCCGTCAGACGACGACGCGGGATCGCGGGATGGGAAAACGGGTCCCAGGGGATGGGTCGAGACCTGAGCATGGCGTCGGGGGTCTGAGCCAGGAGCTTTGGCCCAGCGCGTGGCTTCGCCGGTTCTGGCCCACCACGCTTCGGAGCGGCACGCCATGCGCTGTTCACGTCCCAGTCCCCCCAGCGTCAGTGTTCCGAGCCTCGCCCGGCCTCCCGCCCCGCGGGGCGGAGCACTACGCTACCCGCTTGCAAGGCGAAGCGTGTCGTCGGGGCCGCCGCCGCCGCGGCGGTTATGAAGACGCCGGCGGGGGGTGGCTCGCATGACCGCGTGCGGGAAACATCATCTACGCCCTGTGTATTGCCTGGGCGTGGTGCAGACACCGTGCGCCACCGACCTTCGATGCGACATGTCGTGGTCCCTGGCCTACCGCGGCCTTTGCCCCTCCGCTCTCGGCTCCCCCAGGTCGCCCCTCGGGAGCCTTGACTTGATCGAGTCAGATCTACAAACAGTTCAGTTCGAATTCCTCGAAAGTTCTTTGATTTCTTGGGGGGCCAAGATCTTTTCATTTCCAATTGTTCTATCCTGGGCCTCTTCCTGGCTACTGGGGGGCAAGGAACATTAGAAACGAGCGCAATTAGAAATGAGCACAATTAGAAATGAACGACGTGTATCCGAGCAGGTGATAGAGGCCATCGTGACGTTCTTTCACCTTCACCGAAGTCGGAGCCATAACGGATCCACCCAAGCGACGCTAATCAGCTGCGTAACCAGGCAGACCTAGAGGTATTTGAAGCGGCGCAGGCGCACACGGTCATCTTTACCAATAGGACCGCAGTGTTGGTATCGCATCCCTTCGTGGCAGAGGCCTCTGCTCTCGCGCATCTTCCGCCTGCACAGGCGTTGCTCGAACTAGGCCTTGCCTGTGAGTGATATTATGCCAGTTCCGCCCAGTTCCGCGGAGCGTACGAGAGCAAATGCCTCCGACGGTAAGTAGACTTTCCGCTTTCGGCAACGCCCGCCCCAGGGCGGCTGGACAGTATCCCGACGTGCCACTGTAGGGGTGTAAACTTTCCAGCCGCCCTAGGGCAGGCGTTGCTGAAAACGGAAAAGTTTGTTTTTCGGTCAGGAATATTTGCTCTCGTACGCTCCGCGACAGGGCATGATGTCACTCACAGGCATGGCCTAGCTCGAGCAGCGTCTTAAGCAGGCGGAAGAACCGCCCAAGGACGCCGCGCCGCAGTGGGTCGTTGTGACTGTGAGGCAGGCTGTGGCGCAGGGTGGCGGGCTCACGCCGCAGGTGATGCGCCTGGAGGTACCTGCGGACGCCAACGTCTCGCAGCTGCGCGCCGCGGTCGTCGAGAGGCTGGGCTTGCCGCAGGCCTCGCAGGCCAAGCTGGTGTTCCGCCTGCGCGAGTCCCGCGGGGGCGAGGCGGGCATGAACTTCGCCCCGTACAGAGACGAGGAGCCCATCGGCGCCAGGCGGGAGCGGCGAGTCTTGTGTTCCCGCCCCGGTCCGATAATTCTGCGGCATAGAGGTTGGCATCAATGCCAGTGTCGGCGGTTGCCTCCGCCGAGGGAGCATGAGCCCCACCTGGGCGATGGTGGTAATTATTCGAGCTACCTAAAAAGGTGGCCGAAAGGTTTCCACCAGCTTCAACATCTAGGGGCATCTCCCCCCCAGAGGAGGCACCCACCCGAGTTGGTGATTATGCCAGTTCGAGCGACGCAAAAACAGCGGGTCCGACTGTGCCGACGTTCGCGCGTGAGTTGCCCGCGTAAGAGGGTGAGCGCCTTCGTTCCCAATGTGGCGTGCCGCGCTGGCGGCCCGCGTAAGCCACCGCGTAGGGTCGCCATGCCATGTTGTGTACAGTAAAGGCGCTGAAGTAAGGATCACTTCGGGCTCAGGAGGGGCGGCCGTTCCGCAGATCTAGGCAGGGGGAACCTATACAGCCTATACAGTCAATCCGCACAGTAAGGATGGGCAACCTTCCCAAGTGTACCCTTGCATCCTTGCCCCTTCGGCCCATCCTAAGCGACTTTCACTGGCAAACCTCGTTCGAGAAACGTCATCTTGGCCCTCCAAGGCCCTTGCATCCTTACCGCGCATTCTTATGAGACGGATTGACTGTACTCGTGGCCGAGGTTCGCCGTGGCCAGGAAAAGCCCCTTCGTTCCTCATAACGTGCTTCTTGTGGTAGCACGATGGCTGTAAGACTCGTGCCCTTTCTTCGCCCAGCTGGCAACCTTGCTGCCTCGGTACGCCCGTCTTGAGACGCAGCACGCACCGTGCTCAAGACGTCCATGCCAATACGCCGCGTGTGGGCCCACGCTGTGACGAACGCGTCGCGCCAGGCCCACGGCCTCCGCAGACGTGCCGAGCTCCGCGCAGCAGCACGCCGCGTGCTGCGTGTGGCGCATCGGGGCAGCCGAGCACGTGGCCTTTCCCTCGCCTCCTCCTCCTCCTCCTCCTCCTCCTCCTCCTCCTCCTCCTCCTCCCTCCTCCTCCTCCTCCTCCTCCTCCTCCTCCTCCTCCTCCTCCTCCTCCTCCCCCTCCCCCCTCCTCCTCCTCCTCCTCCTCCCTCCTCCTCATCCTCCTCCTCCTCCTCCTCCTCCTCCTCCTCCTCCTCCTCCTCCTCCTCCTCCCCCTCCGTAGCCATTTTGGCTCAAGGGGTCGAGGGTCCCCACCCCCAGCAGGGCGCCCGCGCGCGTGCGCGCGATCGGCCCCTGCGTCGCGGCGTGGCGCCGCGCTGCCGTGCGCCCTGGGCTGCTCCCCGCGGGCGGCGCTGTGCGGCACACTGCAGGACGCTTGGCGGGCGGAGGCGCACGCCGTCTCCATCCTGGCATCGGAGGCTGCGCAGAGCGCGGGCCTCAGCACGGCATTTGTTACAGGTCGAAGCGGCACGATCGCTCCTGGCAGGACATCACGGTTCACAGTTGCCAGGGCCATGCATGGCAGGTCGACCGACTAAGTCCAAGGATGTGGTTCAAGTGGAGCCCCGTTGGGCTTGTGCTGCTTCTCGCCAATGCGGGTACCAGCGGAACTTCGCCAGCAACAGTCGGTGCTAACAGTGCGGCAGGGACCGTGCAGGAAAACCAGATCCAGCTGGCCCTCCATAGCGACGATATGGCCGCTCACCAGCTCCTCGACGCGCGGGCAGCAGTCCGCGAGGAGGCAGCAGCGCCAGACGGGAGCGCTCTCATGCAGATGCTGAGCTTGATGAGCATACGTCTACAGATGCGGTGTCTCGGGCCCGAAAGGCCGTATCAGCGCTCAAGAGGCTTGGCATCGACGAATTTTCTAGCCTCCTGGTGGCCGCCAAGCGTGAGCTACATGAGGCAGAGGAAGTGGAGCGCGCCAGTCGCACACCCGACGATCAATTGCGCAGGGCTCTGGACCGACAGCAGCAGAAGACGCGTGAAGTCGAGACCCTTGCGGCAGCGGTGGCTGAGTTGGAGCAGGTATTCACCACCAAGTCTGCTGAGCTCAAGGTGGCCAGGGACGAACTGGGCGCCATCACGTCCGAGGTTCAGGTTGCACGCGCTGCTGTTCTGGCCACCTCAGGAACGGCGTCCCCTGTCAGCACTGGAGCTGCATCGCACGGGGAGATGGATGAGTCATTGGAACGTCTTGGGCGAATTGTGCAGGCCGCGGGCAGCGTCACGGCTGGCAACGAGGCCACGTACATTGAGTCGCTCTCGAAGCAGTACCATGAATTACGTGCAGCGTTTGCCCGACAGCGGGCGCCGCCATCGTCATCAGCTACTCCAGTGGCTCACACAGTACCAGTACCAGGCACGCCCACGGCATGGGACGCTCAGATTCCCTCGGAAGATCGGGACATGGACCTGGTCCGGCGAGACGGCACGTGACATTGACAGCGATTTCATCTGCCTGGCAATCTCGACGCACTACGGCGTTGTCGAGCCCGCTATCACTATGCCGCGACATCACGCGGACGGACGCATCCTACCTTTGGGGCCGAGCGAACGCAGTCATCCTGATGACGGTTTTGGTTCACAGTGGCTCCCACAACCTGGAGCGCGAGCAGTTTTGTCTGTATCAGAGGCGCACAACGTTTGCTATCCCCAAGCAGAAGCTCAGCTACCTCAAGGACGTGGCAGTACCGCAGTTTTGGCGGGTCTCGACCCCGCGTCGTGGGAAGCACAGATACAATCGATAATCCATGATGAAAAGGGGCTTCTGCCGCATGTACCTGCAGGGTCGCTTGTGGGTCCTGGGCCGCCGACGGGTGGCAGCAGTCCCCAGGGCGCACATAACGAGGACGGGGCCGCTGACGAGCGGGTGGTCGATGCCCCTGTCCTCGCTGGCGATGTTGTAGGTGGGTGCGTGCAGACTCCCATTGGTAACGGAGTCGACATGCAGCCAGGCCACCGCTACCAGACGGATGCTCGAGTACACTACGACGAGCGCGTGACGTATGTCGTCTACGGCCTTGTTTCCGCCCGCGCCTGGAGTCGAGTGACAGTGAGATCGAGACAG